TTAGACGGAATACAGCCAGTTATTTTGAAGAATATGTCTTCGGTCATATAATGAAAATATTTAACTGGTGCTTATAAAATGGATATTTATCAAAGCTCTTCAAAACCGCTTAGGTTATACCGACAATAAATCGATAAGATTTTTGAAAAAATAATATTATGTGGACTTAATGAGTTCACGGATGACAACAATATCTTACAAAAAGAACAATTTGGTTTTCGGAGGGATCACTCTACAGTGCACCAAATATGAAAGATTGTGAAATTTATAACTATGCACAAACTTGAGCGTAAAAGTACGGGAATTGTCAGTTCAGACATGATGGCATGATGGCTTAGTTTAAAAATTTAATATGTTAGGCTATCCAATTTACCTGCAAAAGATGATGCAAGGTTTTTTGTGCGACAGACTCTTTGTGGTTCACATTGGAAAGGAACAATCAAGTCGACGTAACATTATTGCAGGCGTACCTCAAGTGTCTGTTCTGTCACCAACATTGTATTCTATATATATATATATTTCTGACTTTAAACCTCAAATCGATCAGTCAACAGCTTTGTATGCAGATGATACTGCAATTATAGCCCGAGAAAAACATTCAAATTCATATAGTCAAAAGAATGAAAAGCGCTCTCTTACAAGCCCAAAAATACTTAATCAAATGGAAAATAAAAATAAACCAAGCGAAAACACAGGCTATTTCCCTTAAACAAATCGCCTAAAGGAATACCTACCATCCCTCTTACTATTGATGGTGTAGAAATTCCTATTCAAGAATCGATTAAGTATCTTTGCAAAAAATTAACCTTTAGACATCACATTCTCCAGTCATGCGATAAAGCTAATAAGTGCGGGAGGGCATTATTTCCCTTGTTAAATCGTAAATCGAAATTAAACCACAAAAACAAAATATTGCTATACAAATCGTTTATCCGTCCAATAATGACGTATGGATGTAAAGTCTGGCCTCAAAAATGTGCTAAATCATATCATAACAAGTTAGAGTGCTATATTCGGCTGTGCCGAATCTTAAATACCCTTCACCAGCAAGCTACATTTATTAAAACCCATTTAACTATCTAATTTTTAGATAACTTGACAAAATTGTTGTTTCCGTAGTGAGGGTACTAACATTTTGCATATGTAACTAATTTTTAATTATTTATCTATACACAAACATACTCATGTCGAATTTTATCTGGATATAATAATTTAATAATAAATTAAGTGGTATTAAGGGATTTTCAGAAGTAAAATTCCGTATAACGATTTATATATACAAAATACACATTTATGTCGAATTTTATACCGACGCCTTTGATTGTCAATGTGCGTTTTAGTAATTTTCGGAAATGATCCTTGAGTTGAGTTGTGACCAATTATGGACCGATCAAGAACAAACTTCGTATAATGATTTATATGCAAAAAAAAAAAAAATTCAAGTCGAATATTACTCCAATAGATTTATTATTTAATAAAATATGTGCGTTTAAGTGATTTTGGGAAGTGGACTTTATATAGGAGCTACGACCAATTATGGTCCTCTACAGAAAAATTTCGTAGAGTGATTCATATGTATGTACACAAAACATATTTGTGTCGAATTTTATCAAGATAGCTTTATTTGACAATGAAATATGTGAGTCTAAATGATTTTCGAAAGAGGGCCTTATATGGCAGCTATGACCAATAATGGACCGATCTGGGGAAAGATTGGTAGAATGATTTATATGTACACAAAACATATTCAAGTTTTATTTATCAATGCTATAGCTTTATTTATCAATGAAACATATGCGTTTAAGTGATTTTCGGAAGTGGACCTTATATGAGAGCTATGACCAATTATGGTCCTATCCGAAAAAAATTTCGTAGAGTGATATATAGACGAAACATATTTGTGTCGAATTTTATCAAGATACCATTATTTGACAATGAAATATGTGCGTTTAAGTGATTTTCGGAAGTGGGCCTTATATGGGAGCTACGACTAATAATGGACCGATCCGAAAAGAAATTTGGTAGAATGATTTGTATGTACACAAAACATATTCAGCTCGAATTTTATCACAAAAGCTTTATTTATCAATTAAATATGTGCGTTTAGGTGATTTTTGCAGGTGGACCTTATATGGGAGCTATGACCAATTGTGGACCGACTGAGATCTACGTTGGTAGTATGAATTATATTCAAATTATGAGTTATTGAGGGAGTTATTAATAATATACACCTTTGTATGGGGGCTATGTGAAATATTGGATCAATTGTTATGAGTTTGAACATCCCTGGCACAAAAAAATAATGTGTGACAAAATTCATCAAAATATCTTTGGTAGTTTCTGTGAAAACTACTTAAGAATTGGGAAAAAACTTTTTTTTTTTTTTTGAGGTAGTCTGAAATTTTTACTCATAACTTTTTACGTCGTGAACCGATTTACTGTACCGGATAATAGAGAATAAAAAATAAAAAAATTTGAAGATCGAAACAGGTCTTCAAATTATGATATTATAAGAAACCTTTAACATCCTTTTTAACCAGAGACAGAAAATAACGGGTCCACTTTGTTTTTATAAGGTTAATTGCTGTGATCACCATTTATAATAGTGTTTTTGCTGTTTATCACTGAGAGAAAACTTTATGTTAGCTTCAGTGTGACCATTTTGGCATTTTTGCAGCTAGATTTAGCATTTTTTATTTTGATTTAGCTGTAAAATTTTAATTTAGCATTTGGCATTTTATTTAGCAATTTTATAAAATATTTTTAGCATTTTTAGGTTTTTTTGCAATTTTTGTATATAAACAAAAAAAAAGACAAATTTTTGCAAAAAAGATTTATATTGGAAATAGGTTTAACCGGAAAAAATCAGAATTAAATGTCTACCCAAACACAAGCAACAAGAAATATGAGAAATGTAATAATTTACACTGTAATTCAAAATAATGCAAAAAGATTCATAAAGATAAATAACTTAAAATTACGCCAATACAAGTGAATACTTTAAAATGTTGTATTCTAAAATATTTTTCTGGAAACCAATGCTTTTTTAAATTCGTGGTGATAGAAATAATTCAAGAGATTATATATATTTTTACAAATACGTTCAGTACGCTATTTTACAAACTAATACTTTTTGTTTGCTCATGGAATGAAACATATAATTTTGGAAAAGGCTATGTATGACGGTTAATTAACAAATTTTATTTTTTCCTATACGAAATAAAGAGGTTTTAATTTTTATCATCCTTCAGGAGTTCTTGTTAATTTATTGAAAAAAATTAATAATATATAATTAAGACTTTCTCATCCTACTTTCTGTTCTTTTTATTTTTACCAAATTTTTAGTATTTTTTTTGTCACGTTTTTTTTTTAATTAAAAAAATACATAAATTTCGAAAATATTATTGACAATTTATTCCAGAATTACAAACTTGCGGATTTTAATATATCTCTCAATTCATTTCATACATTCTCATATATATTTTTCCGAAAAAATCTTGGAAGTATGAGTTATAAACCTGACATCTATTCACCGAGATTTAAGATTATTTCAACGGAATTTTCAATATTTTTGTGACATGAAAACCATTTTTAAAGTGTTTTGAGGAAGACAAATAAAATTGTTTATATAAAAAAAAGTAAAACTAGAAATATTATACTTTTCCTTCCGAAAACACATCTAGGTTTTATACCATGAGCAACTAGTGTAGTTAATAGAGTTTTAATGTAATTTTTGCATTCAGAAATATTTTAAAGTTAGAGACATTACATATTGCTAAATTTACAACAATTTTGAAATAATTTTTAGCATTTCTGTTTATCTTAATACCACGGAACTTAATTTTTTACCCTAGTCAACTATACTACGTTTGAGTATACTAATCGGTTAAGAATCATTTTCTGAATCGATTAAGCCATGTAAGTCTGACGTCTGGTAGAGGTTGAAATTTTCAAAACAATAAGCACCTATGCTTTTCGATCCAATGACAAAACCTTTTAAAAATGGTTAAAGTCCGTCCTTTATTTTACCTAGCCCCCATACATATACAAATGTATAAAGCCTTTCTCAGAAAATTAGTTTAAATATATCGGAACCAAGGTTCAATTCAACATAAATGCTTTATTACGAAAAATAAATCAAATTTTATACTCATATGGTCAACCACGGCTGAATATACTTTCTTACTTGTTATAAATTACAATGAATTTCAGTTACAAATTAATAAGAATTGTTCATAAAAACACTTAAAAAATGTAAGCATTTTTTTTGGCATTTTAAAATCAATTTAGCATTTTTTCTAGCATTATTTTGGATGGGATTTAGCCGCAACATTTTTTGTGACCTGGTCACACTGGTTAGATTTTTTTTTGATAAGTGGTTGAGAGAAACCGAAAAGAAAAAAAAAATAACTCGCTGCAATTTATTTTTATTTTGTAAACATTTTTAAAAAGGTCTTCTTATGATTTTTATTTTTAAAAACAAAACAAAACAATACATACATACAAACTATCTTCAGAAATCATAGTAAATAACAACAATATACTCTCCCACTCTCATATAAGCAAGAGAAAAAAGGAATACAAAAACCAAGTGCTCAGCCAAAAACATAAGTAACAAAACAAAAGTAGTAAAGGTTATACATATATACTAAACCATTTTTATTTATTTTATTTATATATTTTTATTTATTAAAAAACCATCACTTCGGTTATGTGGCCCAGTTATTTTCAGTATCCGTTTTTAACTTTAAAAATAAAGTTAAAGTAAGGGCTTTTCTTAAAATATTTAAGGTGTTTTCCTATCTTTTTTCCCTTACGATGTTAATAAAATATAAATAAGTTGTATATCTCGTCATTAAACAAGTTAATATTTGTTGCAATACTTTTAAGTAAAAACTCAAAACATGTATATATAAATATTAAATATATTTTTAATGTAATGATGATAGTAAAATAAAAAAAAAATATTTAACTTAATCAATAATTTATTTTTTTTGCAGGAAGTCAATACAATGACTGAGCGAGATCTAGGTTCCACATTTTTGTTACCGCATACACATCTTTATAAGCCAGAGAGAGTAAGTTCAAATAAATTCCTAACAATTCTAAATATTAATTTTTTACTTTTATTTTACAGCAGGAAAGTGAATTATCTGGATTTGATTCCTTTTAGATAAATTTAAAAAATAGTAATTTATGTATATGTACATATTTGTTATGTTAAAAGTAATTAAACGCTTAAATATTTATATGTAAATTAACTTAATAAAATGTTTCACTTTATAAAATATGGTTTTTAAAATGCATTTAGAATTTAGTTATAGTTGTTATTTTTATCATATTTTATTTAATTTATTTAATAACATAAGTATTTCCATTTTTTAAATCTAATAAAAAAATTCAGTCCAGCCAGTGCGGGGCAAAAAATTTATATCCTACGTTATTAACATAAATTTGACGTTTATCTTATTAGTTTAAAGGGTTATACTTAAGTATTACCCTTTAGGGTAAACTACAAAAAAAAAAAACTTTCAGAAATATGAAATTTGGTTGACTAAAAACAACTTTCATAACATTTTCGAAATAAGAGATTATTGGAAAATAGTTCACAAATAATTTGTTTGCCAATTTATAAAGCTACAACTCAAGTTTATTTACAGATCTATAGAAAGAAAAAGCATTAAAAAATTTCAAAATTATAACTTTAATACTATCTAGCTAAAAATAAAATATATTTAACTTGGAATAAAGAATGTTCGTTGACTTAGAGCATAAAGTGATAATTTTTTCCTTTTTTGTTTAAAAAATGCACATTTTTCTCTGAAGCCAGCAAAATTATCTTGAATTTCGGTAATGGGTAGTAGTAATTTCCTAGGTTACATAGTGATGGGAGGTACATATTTATCTCATTATTTCAAATAAAATAATAATTAGTTAATTAAAATATATTTGTTCAATTCACAATCGATGTTGTAGCGTTGTATGAGTAGCATGTCAGCTGCTGCTACAATAATCATAATAATGTTGTTGATATTTTCTATGATATTTTCGAATGTCGTAAGAAAGTTTAGGGTTGTGAATGTTTTCATCGAAAAAGTGACAATTAATTTCGAAGTAAAAATAATAACAAAATATAATTTTAAAATTTGTAGCATATAATAAATAAATTTATTCGGTTATTTTTAATGTGTAATTTTAAATCAAATTAACTTTATTGTCGATATGAAAAAATAATGTGACAGAATTTGTTCGAAAATTCGAATATCAAAAACGAGTAAGCTCAGTGGAAACACCTTGAAGAGGTTTACGCAAATCTAGCAGATTTTAAGCCAGTGGAAACATACCATTAAGTCGTTTTCTCAGAAACTAGAAAAGATAATTCGATAAATTTAGTCCCACATTATTTTTTTTATCCAGGGATAAATTTCCCATGGCCCCCATACAAAGGGGCTATTAGTTTAACATTAATAACTCCCTCAAATATATCGATATCAACACAAAATTTTGTACATGCAAATATAATAAGAACAGAAATAATGCTATCAGAACAGAAATAATGCTATCGATATCAACACAAAATTTTGTACATGCAAATATAATAAGAACAGAAATAATGCTATCAACGTAGATCTCAGTAGCTCCCATATAAGGTCCACTTTCGAAAATTACCTAAACTCACATATTTTATTGATAAATAAAGTTATTGAGATAAAATTCGAGTTGAATATGTTTTGTGTATATACAAATCATTCTACCAATTTTTTTACGGATAGGTCCATTATTAGGCCTATATAAGGCCCACTTCCGAAAATCACTTAAAAGCATACTTCATTGTCAAATAAAGCTATCCTTATAAAATTCGACACAAATATGTTTTGTCTTTATATGAATCACTCTACGAAATTTTTTCCGCTATAGGGATTAAATTCGACTTGAATATGTTTTATGTACATATAGATTATCCTACAAAATTCTTTACGGATCGGTCCATTATTGGTTATAGCTCCCACATAAGGCCCACTTCCGAAAATCACTTAAGCCGCCTTCAGACGAGCACACAAGTAAAATGATCTGTCAAAATTTTGTGTAGAAGATAACGGATGGGATCGTCTAAACGCAATATGTAATGAAACTATCACACATTGAGAGAAAATACGGATGGAAAATTTGACAGTCGTATGGCTCTCTTCATTTTTTGAAATGTTTCAAAAAACAAGCAAGTCGCATTAGATCAGGGATGTATTTTTATGTAAAAGTGAAACAGTTGTTTCCATCTTACTTTGTTATTGTTTTATACCAATCGTGTAAACACAAAAAATATAAATCATATTTTAAACGCATTGTATATTTCATTGCATTTTAAAGCTATAGAGATAAAATTCGACTTGAATAAGTTTTGTGTACATATAAATCATTCTACCACTTTTTTTCCGGATCGGTCCATTATTGCTCTTAGCTCCCATATAAGGCCCACTTCCGAAAATCACTTAAACGCTCATATTTCATTGTCAAATAAAGTTATCTTGATAAAATTCGACACAAATATATTTTGTCTTTATGTGAATCACTCTACAACATTTTTTCCGGATAGGCTCCTATATAAGGTCCACTTACGAAAATAACTTAAACGCATATATTTCTTTGAATAATAAAGCTATCGGGATAAAGTACGACTTGAAATTTTTTGTGAGCATATAAATCATTCTACCAAATTTTTTCCGGATCGGTCCAATTTGGTAATAGCTCCTATATAAGGTCCACTTCAAAAAATAACTTAAACGTACATATTTCATTATCAAATTAAGATATCTCAATAATATTCAACACAAATATGTTTTGTGTACATATGAATCATTCTACGAAATTTTTCCGGATAGGCTCTTAATTGGTCATAGCTCCTATATAAAGTCCACTTCCGAAAATCACTTAAACGCACATATTTCATTAATTGATAAATCTATTGGATTAAACTTGATTTATTTTTTGCATAGAAATCATTATAAATTACTTAAATGCACATTGACAATCAAAGTTATCGCGATAAAATTCGATATAAATGTGTATTTTGTGTATATAAATCATTTTACGGATTTTTTTCCGGATCGACCCACAAGTTGTATTGGCTCCTAGTAAAGCAATTAATACCACCTTATTCGTTGTTAAATGATTATATCCGGATAAAATATGCATTTATTGAGTCCCTTTACGCAGCAAATACAGATTTCCATTTTTACCCGTTTTTTTCCCTAAGGCTGGGATTTCTAAATATATGTACATATGTCTGAGACTATCAAAATCATAGTTTAAAATATTTTGGCTTTAGAATAGAAAAAAATCGTTCTTAAAGCACAAAAGTACTAATTTTTTCAGATTTTCGCCATTTGGCCTATTTTTTTGTCCCCTTCCAGTCCAATTTTCGCAACGGCACATTGCTAATATATATTTCTAACAAATTAAGTTGTTTAATTGAAAATGATTTTGCTTCAGGATAGACAAAATCGGTATTTACTATCAAAAGTACTCATTTTGCCCGTTTTTAACCCATTTTACCCCCTCCTAGTCCAAGTTTTGAAAAAAATGTAGCCTATAACACTCTCCAAGTATAAATCTAACTATGTTCCAAATTTTAAGAAAATTGGTCCAGCCGTTTAGGCGTGATTGAGAAACAAACAAACAAATAAACAAACGAACAGACTTAAAAAGAGATTTATAATATACATATATGTATATTAGGATAAATATTAATATAGTTCGGGTGATGGTAGCACTTATTTTATCATATTTAATAATTTTTTAATGTTTTGATTTCCTGTAAATTTACTTATGGTAAATTTTGGATCCTCCAAAAATTCTACAAAGATTTTGCATTAAATAAAACTTGTTTTGTCGAATATCAATGCTTTCTAAGCCTTATATGAAAGCTTTAATCCAATATGGCTCGATGGACATAAAATTTGACAAAAAGATTTTAGATCCCATAAAACTACTTCATGACGAATTTTATCACTATACTGGTATTTTTAAGCCAGTTATGGCCGTTAATGTCATTCTATGATAGGAGATAATGTCAATTACTAACCTCAAAAAATTTTACAGTTAAAATTAAGTTCCTATAAAACTTATTTATGTCGAATTTCATTACTTTTTAAGAAGTTGTCTATGTCAATTTCGTTGATATACTGACATTTTGAAGCAAATTATGAACTTTAAAGTAATTTTCTGAGAGGAACCTTATATGGGGGGTAGGGTCAATTATGAGCCGACTTCCATAAAATTTGGCAGAGAAATATTTGTTTTCCGAAAACTAGTTTACGTAAAATTTCGTTGCTTTACTATAATTTTGTAGCAAATTATGAGCGTTATAGTCAATTTATGAATGGACCTTATATCGGGGGTAGGGTCACTTATGAACCGATCCTCATAAAATTTGGCAGAGAGATTTTAGTTCCTCTAAAACTTGTTTATGTTGACTTTCGTGATTTACTGGTATTTTTGAGAAAGTTGTGAGCTTTAAAGTAATTTTCCGAAGGGAACCATATATGGGGGATAGGGTCAATTATGGGCCGATCTCCATAAAATTATCAGATGAGACGGAACTTTGCTATATAATTCATATTTCAGACACTTTAAAAGCTTAATCAGAAATGTTTTTGCTTGAGTATAGACAATAATAAGTATTTACTCCCAAAAGTACGAATTTTGTCCCTTTTTCATCCACATACCCCTTCTTTTTCCTTCTTATCCAAGTTTTGGAAAACAATATAGCCTATCACACTATTAGGGATGCCAAACGGGACTGGCTTTTACAAATCCCGGGATTCGGGATTTTGAAAATTGCAATCCCGGGATCCCGGGATATTTCGGGATCCCGGGATTTTTCGGGATCCCGGGATTTTTCGGGATTTCGGGATTTTACGGGATTTCGGGATTACATGAATTTATTTATTTTATATATGAAAATCTTTAAATCATCATATTTGTAAAGAAAATTGTTTAATTTTGTGGAAATTTAGAAGACAGAAGATATATTTAAATTAAAACAATCCAATTAATTCCAATTTTTAAATAAAAACTTTCAGAATTGCATAATTTCTGAAACTTTTTAAATACATACTTACTTCCTAAATAAATATCAAGTTCCGAAATTAGACATAAGCACTTTTTAAAACCTCATACTGTTCCATGTGAACTAATAATTATAACAGATACCAATTCAATTATCCGTACATCAATTTAGAACCTATTCTTTGAAAAATATTTGGAACTTTACACAAAATACATGTTAGTTTTGGAACATGTTATTATATTCGTAGTATTAATTTAAAATTTTATGTGCATTCAGAACAAGGTAATTTACCTTTACCGGTATCACTCAGATTTGTAGAAAGTTAGAAATGTAAAATCCTCTAGTATTGAAAAATAAAGTTTGTATTCGACTGTGCCGA